AAAATTATTTCCTAATGTCGTCCTATGTCAGTTCATTTTTTCAAACCTATTATTCAACATGTTGCAAAATACTATAAAACATACAACTTGTTTTCCCTTTGTTACAATTGCTACTCTCAGCTGCCCTTTCCGCTATCTTTGTCATCTCAATAATGCCTTTACAAATTTTGGTGAGGAGGTGGGATAAAGAAAAGCATATTTCTTCTAAAACAACATAACTGTTGCTTGATCTATATAATGTTTAACATTCACTGAAATCATCCTGTTTTTCCAGGAAGTAATATATTTGCTAAAACACTGTTTAATGATCTTAAGGGTTAAGGCTGTGTAAGTGACTAGTGGTTTTCCTTTTTTGTTTCCTTCTACTTTCAACATCTCTTTATTTACCTCTCATGTGTTTACCAAAAAAACCTGAACCAGATGCCTTAGCTAAAAACATTTTAGATGACAAAAGATAAAATAAACGAATGGAGAGCTACTTACTGTTTGAATAATGTAGAAGATTGTTCCTAAGAGACGAACATATCTGTTAAATCGAAGTTCTAAATACTGTTTCCAAAAAAAAAGGAAAAATGGTTAATATATTAAACCTCTGGACACCTTTTTTTTAAAATCAGCAACTTAAGAAGTAAAGGAGTTAGAAATTGAAAGCAACTTCATATCTAATTTGTATTCTCTATTTCTATTGTACTATTATTTTTATTTACATACAGCAAAATCGACTCTTGTTTTAGAGTACAGTTCAGTGGGTTTTAACACATACAGAACAGTTCCCTCACCCCCAGAAAACTCCCTCCTGTTGCTCTTTGGTAGTCAAACCCTCCCCCAACCTCTCAACCTTGGCAATCACTGATCTGTTCTCCATCCCTAGCTTTGCTTTTTCCAGAATTTCATATAAATGGAATTACATTCTGCATTTTTAGAATGAGCAAAGTGTTGATTCCCCCCTGCTTTTGGTATCTACTCCATAAATTTCCCTTAATTCACCTAGGGAATCAACCCTCTCCCACTGCAGGAGATTGTGATCGAGTTGTCAATCAAGGTGCCCTGCATCACATAGCCCAAGCTCAGCCAATCAGCTTCGCTTCCCAATGGGTATTTGAATCTTAGAGGCAAGATAGAAAGACAGAAAATGATTGGGGCAAAAGCAGATTGATTCTGACAGGGGGGCCTGAAGAGTCTGCCCTGGCTTTTGTCTTTTTCATAGTCTGTCTGTTCAGCTTTTCCCTGTTATATGTGCTACTCCCACATTCTTCCAATAATTTTTTTTTAACTTAAATCAGCCCGTCAGTTTCTGTTCAGAGCCAACGATGCTGCCAGTTCTTCCCACTGTCCTTGACATCTGCTATATCTTATGATCTACTCTGTTTCTCTCCTATATTACATATCATAATGCATTATAGAGTTAGAATTCTAGAATTTCAGAGCTGGAAGGGAGCTGGGGTCTAAGATATTCTTTAACTTACATATTATTACTACATGTAGAGAGAATTTTAAGGCTGACAATAGTCTTTTCATATAGCAGGGGGGAAAAGAGGAAAGAAAAACTGACATTAGGTCACGATCAGAGGAAATACACAGGATATTTTTGCTCCATAATCACAGCTAACATTTTTAGATTATTTGTTTTGTATACCATCCTCTCAGCAATTTCACAGGAAGGTTCTATGTATAAGCGCATGAGACGCTGGGGCCCCAAGAGAGTGCCAAGGTTGCAATCTGATCATTGTTAAGAGTCACAGTGCAAATCTAGGACCATCTCATGCCAAAATCTGTACATGTCACCACTACGTTATTTGAAATAAACAAGTAAACAAACTGACCACGTGTCTAAGACTCATACAGAGTGAGTGGGTGGCCCTGACACATAGTAGGACCTCCAAAAATAACTGATGGGTAAATAAATATACAGTGCAGTGCAGTATATTAGGAGACGAGCTCTAGCCCTTGTCCCAGCCTTACTCCGTACCCCACAAGCCTGGGGCAGTCATTCTAAATCTCAAGTTCCTCCTGTTGAAAATGAGGGTCCTAGAAATGAATCTTTCCTCTCTTACTTTGCAGAGTTTTGGAGACTATCAAATGATGTACATGGATGGGGAAATGTAAATTGTTCATTCAGACATAAGACATGAAGAAGCTGGTATCCAAACCACAGGCCCTGAGAATTTGAATCTCAGTGACTTACGGGTGTCAAAATCATCCAAGGATAATTTGGAAGGCATTTTAGAAAACTCAAGAAGTGTCTTAAAGCCTGGAAACAGGGCAGTGTTATCTCTTCAGAGCTGTTCTGTAAAATTCTATTAAGAAATGAATGTATATGCATAGAGACGCTTTTGCCTTTTCCGGGTACATATATCCACATTGCTAGAGACTAAAGAAAATTGAAGAGAAAAATGTAATGAAGGAAAGAATGTAGCAAGTTGAACCAAATAACTTGAATGCATGTGTGTATTTTTCCCCCCAAGATCAGCTGGATCCAGGCAAACCTATGGACTTAAGCACACATAAGGCCACCGCAAGACAGAGTCAAGAAGTCGACTATCTCAGCTATCAGTATTACCTGGTTGCTAAAGAAATACCCAGAGGCTTCCCAGAAGCCCAAGTCGCTGAGCTACAGGCTCTAGGCTCTAGGCAAAACTACAGAATAACAGAAGGTGCCTATAGCAACCAAGATCTCTCCCCATCCTCAGAACTTTGAATAACTTAGGGGCTCTAAGGCTTCTACTGAATACTTAAGAAGAAAAAAAAAAAAGAGTCTGGACAACTCAGTTCAAACACTCCAATTTTGCTGGATCCAAAAAGATACTGCAGGAGCAGTGAATGAAATCCCATTCCTGCATTTTATTTCTTTTTTGTTTTGTTTTGTTGTTTTTTATTTAATTTTTTTATTGTGAAATAAACATTTTTTAAATTAGTTTCAGCTGTACAACACAGTGCAATAGTTATACTTTTTACCCCTCAAAGTGACAGCCCCCTCCCTCAATCCACCACCCCAATCCCCCTCCATATTTCTTATCTGTGGGTCTGGAGGCTGCTAAACACCTGTCAGGACTACACTTTGAAGGCAGTGAGACATATCAAAAAGGCTCTGGGCTGGCCAAGTGGTGCGTTGGTTAGGAGTTGGCTTCGGACGCCAGCTCTGAACAGCAGGGTCCTGGTTCGGATCCCACATGAGGGCCAGTGATGCTGCGCCCTCTACAGCTAAGATGGTGAACAACAGCTCGACCTGGAGCTGGGCTACTGTGAGTTGCCTGCAACAGTGTAGGCTGCAGTGGAGCTGGCCGGCAGTGGGCGTGAGTGCCGTGAGCCATCGCGTGCGGCCGTCCAATGGCTGGCAAGCAACTGCCTCATCCGGGAAGAGTGCAATGATGATACCAACATGGGCCAGTGAAGTAACATCCTCCACAACTAGACTGAAGAATAAAAGCACAGCAACTTGTCTGTTCCCCTCCCCCAATTACCCAATTTTAAAAAAAGGGGGGGGGCTCTGAACAGCCAGTTTCAGCTAATAAACTGCAAATAGGGAGACATTTCATACTTGAGCAACAATGCCAGTATCACTCCAAGCCAGACTTCTTATTCTGTATGAGAGGCTGCACCTCTCAGCATAAAACAAACAAGTATTCCTCCAGAAACCTCACCAGAGCCTTCAGGAGCAGCCAATATGCACCACGGCACAGCCTCTAGGCAAGCGTCTACTTTGCTTCATGCTCCCTTCTGTAGCTTAACTTGCTCCAAGTCTCTTGGCTGCAAAATGGGGTTCTCACAGTACCTCCCTTACAAGGACTGTTTGGAGGATTGAGTTAGATAATGAATGTAAAACATTCATCCCAGGGCCCAGCATGGATTAAACATTCAATAAATGTTAGCTTTTGACCATTTTTAGCTGGAACCCTGCTAACTTAGGCTCCACCACTGGAAATGTGTGGAAAGTCTGTTTCTGGCAGAGTTAATGTTACTGGCCTGCAGAGGCACACATCAGCGCTCATCTGTGGGGACTGAGGTCGTCTTGTCAGGTTCTTCAAACCCTTTCTGAGATTTGGGGTTGGGTAACGACAGATCAGAGCTCACACCCAAATATCTATGTGTCCCACAAGGAAACATACATGAGTGGCATGGCCAGGTGTTCACATACTAACGTGTTGGAATATTTCTCACATTCGCTAAGAAATATGTTCTCTCACAGCTCCCTTGAAATAAGAATTCCCACCACCCCTGTCCATTTTCCCTTTTGCATTTTTGATAAAGACATTACAGTCAGAAACTGCGTTCCTGTGGCCATGGGTAAAGTGGCCCCAGGGTTGCCAGTTTCTTGGGTTTTCAAAAGAAGCCAGAATCGGGAGCTTCATTTGACTTCTCACCATCAATAAATGCTAAATTAATTTTGTTTTCATAACACCATAAGGGTTAAAAAAAATGACTAAAGTCTAAGTTTGGCCTGGGGCAACCACTTTGTTACCTTAGAGCAAATAAGAAACATTCCATCCTGCTCACTTCTGGGACAAAACTGAATTCTCCCAAACACAGTGACTAGACAGAGTATAAGGCAATGCAGTCCCAGGGGTGCCTTGCCCTGGATGACGTCAGGAGAGCTCATGCAATTTGTCACCAACACTTATTGTGTCAGTGGGGCCCTGTTCACAGCACCAGTTGAACCAGCCTCACTAGGAAACCACTTTCCAGTAGTCTGGAGTGGAGCAAACACCATATAAACTCAAGGACAGAGGAAGCTGCTGAGATTGAGGCTCAGAGCCTTCTGGATAACGGCCTATCAGAAAGGACACTTCTGCAGGATTGCGTGTGGGGCTCATGGCTTAGTACCTGACTGAAGGAGACCACTGAGGACACTGAACTGGACCCCACCAGTCCTCTGAGCTTGTACCCTCCCCCCGACACGCCCATTCAACAGCTCTTTCAACTAAACCAAACAGCCACCATCTTTGCAAAGCCCTTCCCTGCAGGCAACTTGAGAAAACCTATAACCAGTGGACTTGTGCAACAGGAAAGACGGTTTTTCCTTAATCATCTTCCATAGAGAGAGCAGGTAGAGCTGTTTAAGAACCTTGCAGCCAAGTTTTCCTAATGATCCCAAGATAACCACCTCTACCAGCACCACCACAACAAAACTGACGGCCGATATTTAGTCAGCACTTACCCTGTGCCAGATACTGCTCTAAATGCTAGACTAGCAGAATCTCATTTAATCCTCCCAACAACCTGGTGAGATGGGTGGTATTATTTTCATTTTGAGATCAAAAAATAGGAACAAAAGGTTAAATAAGTCACCCAAGGTTACCCAGCTAATAGGGGGCAGCATCTGGTCTCAAACCCAGATACTGGGACAAGACATCCAGCACCTTAACCACGGAGCGTGGGCCTCTCTTTGGAAGGTGTGTGTGTGTGTGTGTGTGTGTGTGTGTGTGTGTGGAGAGGGGAGAGTAAAACGACTCCCCCAGCTACCCTGGAAAAGTGAGTCTTACCTGACTGAGGACCTGGAACAGGGGATTCACTGCAAGGAGAAGGCGCTGAGACTTGAATGACTTACCCTCCACCAAGATAAAAAGTTTTCAAATCTTTCCCCTTGACTCGGAATTAAAGATATTAAAGCAGAAAGGGCCTTAGAGAGCACAAGTCTTAATCACTTTGGAAGTGTGCCTTCCTCACTGAGACCCTGAGAGTAACTCCAAGATTTTTTTCTCCTTTAAAGGATGCCTCTTCCCAAAAGGGGAGTGGAGGAGGTCAAATGGACCCACACAGGGAGAGGCTGCCGTCAGGAAAATCCCTTCAGGAGGTGAGGAGTCCTGCCTCTCCCTTCTGCAGCGCGCCCTCACCCCTTACCTCGTAGGTGCTGGTAATTCCCAGTTTATAGAACACTGGGAGGAAGACCTCCGCGCTGATGACCACCACTAGAAAGTAGGTGAGGCCGAAGATGCTGTATATGGTCCCAAAACGGTAGACCTCGGCGGGGGTGCCCAGGACGGTGACGGCTGACATAAAGCTGGCGGTGAGGGACAGCGCCACCGGCACGGCGTGCATTCTGCGGCCGCCCATCAGGAAGTCCTTGGAGGTCTCCCGGCTGCCCCCCGCGAAGGCATAGTAGATGCCGATGACCGCGGAGATCAGCAGCACGGCGGCGAACACCACGTAGTCCCACACCGTGAAGGTGCCGATACCCCGCGACGCGTCCATGGCCTCACGGTCGGCGGGGTCCTCCCTGCGCGTAAACTGGCGTCCTCGAGGTGCGCAGCCGGAGCTGGAGCTTTACCTGGGCGGCCTGGCGCTCACCTCTTATTTCCCCACGCCGCAGGCGCGGCGGGCGTGGCGCCCTGCGGGGATTGGAGGCGTCCTCCAGGTGTCTGTCCCGGAGAGCCCCGACAGCCCGGCGAAAGGGGGAGGGGGGACGCGCGCCCTCAGCAACCTCTGCACCCACCGCGGCCAACAGAGACCTTCGGGTCTGAGGTTTCCGGAGGCTCCCACGCCACGCTGAGCGCTCACCAGGTGCCAGGCCGGGTTGGCCCAGATCTCCCAGCCGCCGCGGACACCTGGGCAGGTGCGAACTGGATCCTCTTCCACGTCTGGCGAGCGCTCACCGCAAACGACCGATGAGGCAGTTGTCACCTTTACTTGTTTAGCTTTCCAGTTCAAAAGCCCGGGTCCTTATAAGAAGATACGCCTGGAGGTTTTGGGTCGCCTTATTTGATAAATTAATGGGCGATTAGGGTGACAGTGTGCACTAAGCCGAGGTGCCAGTCCTTAGGCAGGTAAGAAATTATAAAGGGGACGAGCGGGACGACTCTGTGCTATTGGTTGCCTGTGCTTTCATTCAAAAATGACTTTTGATGCCCGACAGTCTCTCGTACAAATGATAGTTGCTGTAATATTAATGAGCCTTGCCTACTATTTAATGAGCCTTACCATGTGATACACTGGCACTTGACACATCGACTAGCGTAATTCTTCCTATTATCCTTGTTGAGATAGGAATCGTCTCCATTTTTCAAAGGAGGAAACTGGTTTAGAAAGGTTAAATCACTTGCCCAAGGAAATGCTGGAAATTAAGATTTTTAATCCAGTTATGATTTCAGAATTGGTTTTCTTAATCATGTGCTGTGCTTTGTAGAGTCCAAATGTAGACGTGTGTTTGTTAAATGTAGGCATAAATATGTACACTTAAGTGAAGACGCTTGAAAACATATGGAAGACAAAATCATTGCCAGTGTCAGTGCTCAGGACATATTTTAAGTGGCTTGCCTTGAAGTGTTACTAACAACACATGAGTCACGCTTGTAAAGCAATGTGATTCTTGGGTTTTTCTTTTAAAATAGACACTCCAGCCAAATGTGCCCGGGCAAAGGTCTGTTTCAGGCCATGCTTGTTCATTTTCATACATCTGTATAATTTGGTCCTTGATAAACAAGCCTTGATTGTTAAACAGAATGCATTTAACTGAGCCCAGTATGTGAAGAGGAAATAGAAGTTAAATCCAAGTAATGCAATCATTTAAACAAATATGTGTTTTGGAATTGTGTCACAACTGTGTGAAGTTTAGTATGTCTGATATATATTTATCTATACCTATGCGTATACATACATATACGATGTCTGACAATTAAGTTCGAGAACTCATCCTAGAAAAAGTGCTCCATACCTCATTGCTGAATATCACTACTGTCACCTCCAAAGCACTCCCCTTGGGAAGCTAAGGCATCGATGCCAGCACCTAGTCCACCCTTAAGCAATTTTGGAACTCTTTTTCTGGAATGGCCATCAGAGCTGTCGTCATATTACCCTTGATGTCCTGAATGTCATCAAAATGTCTTCCTTTCAGTATTTCCTTTATCTTCGGTAAAGAAAGAAGTCATTGGGGGCCAGATCAGGTGAGTAGGGAGGGTGTTCCAATACAGTGATTTGTTTACTGGCTAAAAACTCCCTCACAGACAGTGCCATGTGAGCTGGTGCATTGTCGTGATGCAAGAGCCATGAATTGTTGGGGGAAAGTTCAAGTCGCCTAACTTTTTCACGCAGCCTTTTCAGCACTTCCAAACAGTAAACTTGGTTAACTGTTTGTCCAGTTGGTACAAATTCATAATGAATAATCCCTCTGATATCAAAAAAGGTTAGCAACATCATTGCAACAAGTTCGTGAACTTAATTATCTGAAAATATATACAAAATATATACTATAGAAATATGTAGTATAGAAAAAATATACAGTATATACAGAGGGTGCCAAAAAAATGTATACACATTTTAAGAAAGGAAAACTGTATTAAAATTATAATACTCAATATATACCAATAACAAAAGATGAATACAAGTCACATTTGACTTCTGCAGTTTCAAGCCATGCTCAAAGTGGTTCCCGTCAGCATCCAGATACTTCTGATTATGGAGAACTACTGCTTGAGCAATGCTGACCAAAGTGACCATGCGTAAACATTTTTTTGGCACCGCTGATATATAAACAACCTATAAATGTAACACAGAGGAATCCAGCCCAGGAAACCTTCTAGTAATTACATGCACTTTCTGGGAACTTCCTTTAAAGCCAATAGCCCTAGAGAAAAATGATATTTAAACAAAACTTGTTTTCTTTTGATATCTAGAGTTAAGAACAGAACCTCAGGTAACTGATGACCAATATATCTTTGTAGTCACGTTAGAGGAAGAACAGCTCGAGGTTAAACTCTAGACTCTGAAACTATCCACAAGCCATGATATCTTGGGCAAGTACGTCTATGCCTTAGCTTCCCATATCTAAAATGCAGATAATAATTCTTTACTCATAGTGTTGTAGAGGATTGGATGAGATTATATGCAAATATCCCTGGCACTGTAAGTGCTGGCATTATAAAACTCTTTAGCTGCTTTCAAATTTATTTTGAAATAAATTTGGGCTGGTATAGTCTTGGAAGTACCACTACTAGAAATGACCTGTTTTCCCTATTTGCCCTTGCTTTATTACTTTTACATAATATCATGAACTGTGTATAATCTATATGCTGTTCTTTCAGGTCTTTCAAATGCCTGATATATGCAATCAAATAATGTTTTCAAAAAAGAATACCTGGATTCTCTATTCTCTGAGCATTTGCCTGTATAAGGTTGTTTATCTGTTGTTTTCACACATGAGAAGAAAATTCAGCTAAATAAACCTTAGGTCATAACCTTCTTATTCAAAATTTGTAGATATTTTCCTATTGTCCTTTTAAAAGTTTAAAAAATTTTTAAATTACAGTTCACATTCAATATTATATTAGTTTCAGGTGTACAGCATAGAGGTTAGACATCTATATAACTTACAAAGTGATCTCCCAATAAGTCTAGTACTCACCTGACACCATACATAGTTATTACAATATTATTGACTATATTCCCTATGTTACATCTCCATGACTACTCTGTAACTGCAATTTGTACTTATTTTTTTAATGATAATGTTCAAAACATTTATTTACTAAATGACTTTGTGATTGATTTATATAAGATAATTTCAACAAATGTTTAATGAAAAATTGTGGTATACAATATACCTGTCTCTAGAAAAAAGTCTAATTTACAAGTTAAAGAAAAAAAGGTATTTAAATAAATGTAGGGTTTTTTTAAAAAAACATTCTTTATTCATTGTTACCATAATAAAAATGGATTTCCTAAAAATAGCTCGAGCAGCCAATGACATCTTAAGAAATGAACCAAAATTGTTTTCAATCGTATTCAGAAAATCTAATATGCTTGCTTGCTTGTTGAGTCTCTGCAAGTCTAATCTTGGTATAACCTCTTCTCCCATTCTATGCCTGTCTTTATGTTGTGCGTCCTTTTTCTTTTTAAGATGCGTCCATCTTTTACAACTCCAGTATCCTTTTCCTCTTCAGTAGAGTCTTCTAAATCTTTGTATTCTTTGGACACTTCTGAGGCTTTTTTAAGGTTGTCTTTCTGAGCAGTTTTTCTTGACTTTTGATCTGGGGGTGAGGCATTCCGCATCTCATCTTCAGACCTACTTCTCTTCCTCTTCCCTGTTCTGACCAAAGGTGAGCTGGTGACTTCAGCTCTTTCCCATTTCCTCTTTTTCTTTGAGGGTGGCTTCTGGGGTTCAACGACCTCTCCTTCAGATCCCTCACACGTGGTCCTGGGCCTCTTCACTTTGCAGCCACTGCTCTCCTAGCCTGTGTCCACGTTCGACCCTCTCATCTGGAGACCCTTCTTCACTCGCCCTTTCTTCTTCTTTGTCTTTTCTTCAGCTACTCTAAGGGCAGAAATGGGTTTGTTTTTCGTGGTTTTAGGAAACATACCAGGTTTTCTCGGTGCTTCCTCTGGTGGGTTGTCAAGACACTCAAACGCTTTTGCTGCTTGTTCTTTCGTTTCAAATTCCACAAAGGCAAATCCCTTTGGGTCTCCAGTAGACTTCCAATGCGGTATACTTATATAAACAACATTGCCCCCTTTCCCGAATACTCTTTCAATGCAGCTGTGATTAATATTTTGGGGAAGTAATTCCACATCCACTGTCCACTCATCCTCTTTCTGTGGCCTTTCGCCCCAGAGGCTTTTTTCTCCTGATTCTGGTGCCTTCTAAATCCAGCTCTACAACAGCTGAAATTTTCAGGGCTCTGGCTATTAGCTTTCCATCAGTGGTCAATTTTCTCATTTTGTTACAAGACACGAGAAGTGATATTATCAACATACCCATCTCTAGATTTTTCTATCTGCTCTCGAAAAAAATCTACCCTTGTGAAGACTTGCATCTCCAAACCAAAAGTCCACTTGCTTAGCGATATCTGCAACCATCTGTTGAACTTGAGACTATTCCTTTTCTTTCTCCTGTTTCTTTTCAGTACTTTCCAGAGAGACTCTGGACAGAGGATACGGGGCACAACGATGGCCAAACTTTTATACTGAAACCTGGGAACTAAGGGAATGTCCACATACTCAAAAAAAGAGAAGACCTTCTGTATCCTTCACCCATTCGTCTCTTTCCCAGACTCTTTCCCCAAGAGTGTAAATCTCCACTCAGTGTGTTTCAATACATCAGGTAATCACCGTGGACTGTTTGCTCTCTAGACCTGCTGCACAGTTAATTCCCTGGGATCTCAGTGTATTATACTCTGAGGATTTTCCCTGTCTTTATCCAGTTGACCTCGTATTTCCTGAATCTCATGTTTCTTCTTTGGTATGCTCCTTTGTCTTGGCTGTATGCACCATCCAGTAGCTTCCTGAGAAAGAGTTCACAGGAGAGATTTCTTTTGAGAGGCAGCAAGTCTGAAAAAGCCTTCATTCTCCTCTCATACTTGGTGGATTGTTGGGTATAGGCTTGTCAACAACAGTCATGCATCGCATAACACTGTTTTGGTCAGCAGTGGAGCGCGAATACAATGGCAATCCCATGAAGCTATAATGGCGCCGAAAAACTCCTATCACCTAGCGAAGTCATAGCCACAGTGACGTAGTGTAATGTATTACTCACCGCTATTAATGAGGATGTAAAAAAATATTTTTGTACAGCTGTACAAGGTGTTTGTGTTCAGCTAGGTATTATTACGAAAGTAAAAAAGTTAAAAAATTAAAAAGTTTATGAAGTAAAAAAGTTACAGTATGCTAAGGTTAACTTATTATTGAAGAAGAATATTTTTATAAATTTAGTGTAGCCTAGGTGCACAGGGTTTATAAAGTCTACAGTGTACAGTATGTCCCAGGCCTTCACATCCACTCACCCCTAACTCACTGACTCACCCAGAGCAACAGCCAGTCCTGTGAGCTCCATTCATGGTAAGTGCCCAATACAGGCACCATTTTAATCTTTTATCCTGTAGTTTTACTGTACGTTTTATATATTTAGACATGTTTAGACACACAGATACTTACCCTTGTGTTACAGTTACTTGCCTATAGTATTCAGTCCAGTAACATGTTGTACAGGCTTGCGGCCTACAAGCAAGTCTACACCATACAGTCTAGCTGTGTATATAATAGGCTATCCAGGGGTCGGCAAACTGCAGCTCGCAAACCACATGCGGCTTTTTGGGTACATTCCGTCTCAAAAGTTTGCTGACCCCTGGAAGAGCCAATCCTGTCCCTCACAACAATTTAAAAATTATTCGAGAGCCATAAAACAAATGAAATCACCATTATGTGAATAATATCTTTTAAAAATGTTATAAATGAAACTATGACAGTTTTCTTTTCATTTTCAATTTTACTTCAGAGCCACATGTACAAACCCAAAGAGC